AAAAAAAAAAAAAAAAAAAAAAAACGCCCGAGGGGCGGGAAAAAAAAAAAAAAAACAATGTGTGGTGTTCGAAGTTAAAATATTAAACATTGTGATCTAGTGGCACAAGTTAATGAACAACTGTAACCTACCTGAACTGTTTCTAGAAAGGTCTATGTTTGTTACATTTTAGTATAAGTTACTTATTCATTCTGCTTTATTATTATTATTGCATGTGCCATATTTCAAAAGAAAAACTAAGCTACTTTTTATTCCTCTAGAAAGTGAATGAGTTTGTGTCGATGTACCCTAAACAGATTCATGTGCTTGTCACTTTTAAAGAGAGAAAATTAAATGATTCAAAGATGTTTAATATGTAATCATGATTTCTTTTCAGGCACATTGTGCTACTATATTAAGAGTAAAAAACAAAAAAATGAAAGGTAAAATATTTAATATTAGTTACAGATGACTAGTTTCGGTATGACAGTTACGTAAATACTAGCCTTGATGATGGCAATTGTATTACCGAAACTAGTAGGCTGTAACTAATATTAAAAATGTTACCTTTCAGTGTGCAGAAAAATACCAGTTTTTGTATTTTTTACTTTTAATATAATGTTGTACATGTATTTGTATATATTGACCATATTTGCGATTCAATCTTACCCTTCCTTAGCACAAACTGCGACGTAATGTTTATTTTAGCGAATGCGCAAACCGTATCAGAAATTTCTCGAATTATTAGTAACTTGTGCGATTCTCTTCGTACAATTCATAGAAATACTAAGTATAATATTAAAATATTTTTATTTTACAGAAATTAAATACTTTTTTGAGTGTTTATGCAAAGATTCAAACAACTTGGTACAGTATTTTTTTCTAGATTGCACGTATCCGAGACAGCATGTTAACCATGTGCTATGCATTTTTTTACAGTTGCTACGCAACGTTATTCTATGTAGCAACTGTTGTCATAAAGAAAAAAATTGCCACAAATTATCCCCTGTATAATGAGTGTATGTGTAGAAAGAGAAAGAGCGGGGGATATGGATGTCACACATAATCAGGTTGACTTACCTTTTTTTGTGATATGTTATATACTTAGTTCAATGCCGACTTTAGTTTCATTGCCACAACGTACTGCAGTATATACTCCATTATCTATGATATTGATCTATGCCATATATAGTCATTTAGACGAAGGGAGATACGCAGTTTAGGTACGTGTGGTACTAGTTCTACGCAATCAGTCAGCTGTGACAGAAGATGAGACACTTGTACATGCATGTAAATCGTTTGGCACTGTTGTTTTTTTAATAATAATAAAATAATGTCTATTACTCCTTAGGTATGAATACCTGAAAAACAATTATATATTATAGTGTTAAGAAAAATCTTGCGCTTGATAAATATTATTTCTCTTTTTCACTCTCTTTAGTTGCCTTCCCTCTGGTGGCTCATTGGTAAACTTGAGGTCTTATACAGCTAAAATCGAAAGTTCGATCACTGTAGTAAGTATAGATATGACTTGTAAAAAAAGTAACATATTGGTATGTATTCTACATAAGTAACATACAACTAAAGTTATGTGAAACTCGCATACAACTTGATGATCATACTTTATAAGATACTTACAACTAAGGCAAGTGCTTCATAAGAATGTTTCATACTACTAAAGAATATGCTTTTAAAGAAAGTCTTATATAACTGAAGGATTCTTAAGATCACTCTCTATCTGATAGAACATATAGACAAAATATTCTTTCATGTTTATTAAATAAAAAACCGATGTGGGAACGTTTCTAAAACGTTGGCTCTTTTAACATTAGAGTTTCTTTTGCAAAACAGTCTGTCTGTGCTATTCATGCTTATCCTGTTGCATTCTTGATCTTGTTTCTGGTGTCAAGGGATCGCAATGTTTGTCAGTTTAAAAAAAAGAAAAACGCATTGTGTTAAATGTGCAGTTCGAAAACAAAGCATTATTGGAGTATGTGTCATCAAATTCGCACTCGTACCTCACTCAAAAAGAAAACGAATTCCGCATTGCTTGGGTTAATGGGAGTTCAAGAGAAAGACTGTCGAGTTTATCATTCATAAAGTAATTCAAAGAATGACTTTCTACCTAATGTCTCCTAAATCACACAACACGTATCCTGCAAAAGATGTTGAAAGTATTTCAAATATCTAACTATGTGTATGTAGCACTTCAAAATAAACCTATTGTTAGTGTTAACATTTTTTGTTTGTGGTTTAAACCTTTGTTTAGTATGTTTACAAGCAAGAGATGCAGATCCAACTGCACGTGCGTGTGTTTTAAACAAAGACCTTCATTATGGATAATAAAATATACAACTGTTTTATGCAAACTAGGTTATAACATTTTATGAGGAGAAATAGTCTAACTTTATGAAATTGTCATATGCTTCACAGACGACTGCCAAATATCGATTTGAGGACCAAACATTATTATATATATATATATATATATATTTAAACAAGCGAGGGGATATGTATATATATCTGTGTGTATATATTATCGATTAGGCGTGACGAGTGAAGAAAATCAGAGTTCTCTTCTCTATATATGTTCACCACTGTATGTGACGTTTTGTTTGGTGCGGACTTGTGCATACTTTCTGTGACAGAAAATTAGTTAAAAGAATGCAATTTTACCGGTTTCACTTTGTGTTTCAGAAAGAACGCACGAAGATATGAAAAGTTGGTATGAAGTATACTAATGAAGAAATGGCCGGTTTCCACAGTTATTTATTTTAAACAATAATGACATAAACGTCTTAATTGTGTAATCGAAGAATAATACATCTTTCAGCAGAAAAAACAAATCCCTTTTTAAGTTATTTCACATTTATATTCTGTGAATGGGAAGTGTAGACGTAAATATGTTATATCTCTGCAGCTTCCTTAAAGTTAACAAAATACAGAGTAATTTTAGTTTCTTTTAAGTTATTTCACATTTGTATTCTGTGAATGGGAAGTGTAGACGTAAATATGTTATATCTCTGCAGCTTCCTTAAAGTTAACAAAATACAGAGTAATTTTAGTTTCTTTATATTTTAGGGCCATTTTTTTCACTGTTTTTCTTGATACTTTTCGAAACTCACCAATGTCATTGTTTTCTCCATCCAAGACCTATTTTTGTAATAATAATAATTGTTAATAATAAAGAAAAATAGCTTTTTGTACCATTACTGAGTATTAATGACACGCTGGAAAATGCCAGAAAACTGCATACATGAGAAACTGTTATAAACTGTATATCCTAATTACCGCAAGAAATTAAATTTGAATTTTTTTACTCTTTTCAAAGTCCTTTGTCCCCCTAGTTTTCAAAAACTAAACCACTTTTTAAATACGAAAATGAAGTTCATTAAATCAGTGATTTCCATCCATTTTATGTCGCATACTCCTTGTCAGACTTCTGACGTTTATAATTTGTTGGAAAAATAATTAAAAGTGATCTGTGTTAATGAAAAAATCAAGGGTGAGTTGACTATTCGCAAACATTTAGACCTAGCTAGTGGAATAGTCACTCACAGAGATTATGCTCGAATTTTTAGATGTGGAGTTTATTCTCGTTCTTGATGTTTTTCAAACGTTCTCGCGTTTCCCACCAGGGTAAAATGATTTGTTCGTCAGATTGTTTTCGGGAGTAAACTACATTTTAATGAGAAGATGAATGTGCCCTTCGTAAAACTATGTTTCTTGTGTATTACGTGTTACAATAAATAACTAGCTATGTTAGAGAAATTCGGTGTAGAAACTGATGTGGCTTACCAAATCATTTTATTGCATTTACAATGATAATATTACGTGAGTGTAGATGAGAGAGGCTTAAGCATCTCGTGTATCTTTAATATCCATTTATAAAAACGTTCTTTTCGTTTACTGCTTTCGATATACAGTAATTACGTTTCTTAAATTTATTATAAACCATATGTATGATGGAAAGTCGTTCTATACCATTCTTTTTAATTGTGTTTAGCGTAAAAACTGTGGTTTCCAACCATAAGCTTTTTGCTGTAACACGCATTCATGAAGGTTTTGAAATTTGACCTAGTATGCTTATGAATGTAGTATCTACAATTACACTTGAAATCAGATCGTTTAATATTTCATTGTTGTTATTTTTTAAGTATAGTATTTCGTAAAACTCGGAAATGATGTTGGTAACTTCCAGTGAGTTGTAGTTTAGTTGTATTTTACCAACATTTTTCTTAGATGAAGCTTGATAAATAAAAAAATTTCACCGCGAGTGTGAATTTTTTTTTTCTAATCTTAAAGTACAGAAATCAAACACATAAAAAAATGGATTAAATATCCTGTTTGGTTATCGTGGAGAATGAGGGTGATTCGCACTTTTTTTTTTTTACACAAAAACATGAAGTACTGTAAAAAATGCAAGTAGATAAAATTTCAGTGTGACGAATAACTTAAATATCCTGCAAATATGTTTGATGAACCTTTTGAGGTAGCTTAGCTTGAGACAAAATTCCGTTAAAAAAGTAACATTCTAAAAATGGTTGCTATCCTGTCTCTAGGTCAGTGGGTTAGCATAACTATTTACTGTGTTTTGGAAACTAGAACGTGGACTTGTTGACAGGCTTTTATTAATCACGAGTAAGGTAACAACTGTGTCATGAATCATATAAACTGGGTTTACCTGTAATATGGGTCTTGTTTATATTGAAGATGAAACTCGAACTTCATCAAGTCTTTCTGTTTCAGGTGTTATGTCGAGTTGAAAATGTCTTCCCGACATTGTCAGTAGTGATACGATGGATTGTTTCGTCGCCTTAAGTTTCTCATGTCGCCGAGGAAGAAAGAAGCCTATCTCTAGATAACGTATGTATACAGTTCGCTGGTTACTGAGAGTTAACCAACCTGTAGGTTCGTCGCCAGTTTCGTGACTTGTGTAGTTCTGCGAGTAATTCCATATTAACTTCAACAACATACCACTCGTGTTACGTAGGTAAACATTCAATACTCCATTGTGCCCGGAGTATCAAAGACATCACGTGGAGGAGTGGGATTATGGTAGTGGAAGGGTCAGCAGTTAGTCAAAATATTCTTAATCGCTTCTGTAGCGCTTCACAGCCGACTATCAAACGGTGTCTTGCTGCAGCTTTATTGTTTGGTGTGGTATCCATGGTCATCTTGTCCTATTATGTGTCCAATAACCAATGGCATAGGTAAGCATTATTATAAATTAGTTTTAAATGTGTTTTTTTTTAATTTAAAATTTTTCTAACTAATAATTATTTGCAAACCAAGTTTATTTTTCATGTGACACATCTCACTTAATTGACTGGAGAAAAAAAGGAAATTTAAAGCAGTTTTTATTTTATATCAACATTGTTTATTATATTTCTATAGTTTTTTTTGAACAGTTAAACAGTGAAAAGCTTTAAATATGGTTTGCTCACATTTTATATCTGTATTATTTGTGACATACCCCAGAGGATTTGGTAAATTTAAGGGTGTTATGTTTAGATTTACAAAATCAAATTGAAATAATAAGTTAACTGTAACGTTAATGTTCAACAGTTTCATTAGATTGAGAAAATGTAATCACTGCTCAAAATTTTACAAGCTGTGTGTGTAGATATATATATATTGTATAAAATGGAAGAGAGTGAAGCACTTAAATAATTTCTCACTAATTTTTTAACTCTTAAGTGTTATCCGAGAACCTCCTCAACCATCCTTCCGGTGCCACTCACATAACAAGAGACTTATTAAGTCAAATATTAGTGCCACTAATATCCATACTGCAAGTGGAAAGCTACGATTTGATCCCAAGGTGCTTGTTTTTATGGAAACACAGTATTCTCGACTGGGAAAGCACATTTGTGAAGTTCTCGAGGCTAGTCGAATCAAGTAAGTCTGTGGTTAATGTTTGAAAAACTGCTTAATGTTTTTAGATATATTTTCTTTGACTTATATTACAAATTTATCATTTAGAATTACTTATATAAACATAGGTTTTTGTACTATAAAAGATATGTCTTCGTTATATTAAATGAGTTTCATTTGGAATGATACATGACTGTGATTATGAAATGATTCTGTGGCATGTTTGGCATTCATTGGCATGTGGTAACTGTACATTGGAAAATTTGTTGAAAGCTGCTGTAGATTTTTTACCTGTTGGGCTACCTATGATATGTTGTAAGTTTAAATGTGCTATCCAGGACGAATTAACAAAATAGAATTTGTATCTTATGAAAAATATTGTTTTACCCTTAAGTATAATTTATAAGTTAACCAGTAAAATGTATGGATTTAAAATGTGTAAGCTTATACTGCTAAAAGGAAATTAATATGTTATTGAAACTTTAGATCTTATGTAGTTCTTAGGACATGTTGTAATGTTCAGAACACTTGATATAGATATAAACTTGGAGTGCTTCCTACTGATTAAAGCTACTACTTGTAACCTTTACTCTTAACGTTCTTAATCACTAACAGTGCAAGAAAAATATTGCTTGAATTTTACATACTGTTAGATTAAAAGTTTAAAGCTTTGTCTTTCATTTATTTAAATCATATCAGTTGAAATCTTTTTTAAGTTAGCCAGCTTGTAAATCTTTGTCTAGTTTCACAAACAGCTACATATGTAGATTTTATAAAGTCCTGTGTAACCTATTTATAGATCAACAAGTAAACTGTACAGTTTTAAGAGTATTTGTTGGCATATAAAAATATTTTTATGAAGGTTTGAAATGAAATGACTTTCTAGACTATTTTTGAGGCTTATAAATTCATATATATGGTCACAAAATGTTCCAGAGTACATCTTAAATAACTTGAAGAATATTAAAAAAAAATTAATCGAAAAGAAGTGATACAGATGGGAAGAAAAATTTGGCCTCATTTCAATAGAATTAGGTTGATTGTCATAAGCAATAGTGTGAATTGTAGCATCCTAGTCAGACAAAACATTTTTAGCCAGCCTATATATATATACTTGAATAAATAACTATGATATTCATTGATAACCCTATCTTGAACACATTTTTAATTATATGTTGCTCCTCCTACTTTTAATTATATGTTTCTTCTCCTACCAGGTACAAAGTGGAAGTAGCAGGGAAGAGTCTTCCTTTACTGACGAATCATGACAAAGGGAAATATGCTGTTATTGTCTTTGAAAACTATGAAAAATACTTATCAATGAACAAATGGAATCGTGGTTTGCTAGACAAGTACTGTGTAGAATACAGTGTTGGTATCATAGGATTTGTTCCCTCTAAAGAAGAAACTTTCGTTGGTGCACAACTAAAAGGTGGTTTATCTTATAGTTTTTTAATGTATTAGTGTTTCAAAAGTATCTATTTTGACCATTATAGAATGTATACATAAATTTTCCATTTTACTTTTTAAATCTAATTGTAGTTACAGGTCAAAAGTTTTATCTTTGTTTAATGTTTAAAATATTTGATGTTTGGCTGCTTTTCACATGTCTTTCTTGTTGTCTGCCCTTGATGTGAGGTCTTACATACAAAATACAAGAAATGTTGTAAATATAGAGTTTTAAGGTTTTGATGATGACTTCAAGGCTCAAGTTGAAATGAAAGACTGAAATAGAAAATAATTACTGAAATTTTGTTATACTTGGAGAATACTGATAATAGGAATTTTTCTCTTATTTAATAGTGATAGATGTTTTAAGAGAGGAGGTAAGGTGGTTCATTATATAAGGGATCAATTGCATCCAGTTGGAAAGACATAAATATAAAGCTGTTTTTATGAGACAGGATGTTGTCATTATTTCATACCGAAAACATTGGGTTTTACCTGTGTTATGTGGTGGTAAAAAGAAAAATTGAAAATAGATATAGCATCAGGACCAGAGAATGGTCTTAAATGTTTCATTTTTGGTAGACCAATAGACAGTGGGCAGGTGCCTGAGGATTAAAGAATGGCTAATGCTACTTCTATTTTTAAAGGTGATAGTAAAAATTGCCTTAGAAATTATAGACCAGTTAGCCTGACTTCTATAGTCAGAAAACATTTGAGAGAGTCTGATAAAAGAAAAATCATCTAGTGAAATATGATACCATAAAAGAAATCCAATATGGATTCACTAAAGGGAAGTCTTCCCTTACTAATCTGTTAAACGTTTTAAAGATGTTACATGTAGTATAGATGATAGAAAGGGTTTGAACTTAGATTTGTCAAAAACAACGTTTGATAAAGTGCCACACAAAAGATTTAGCTAAAAAATCATATTGGTGATGGTTGGGGAACAAAAGTAAACTAGATTGTAAGATATTTGGGTAGAGAAGCAAAGAGTTGTGATAACCGAGTCCATTTGCACTGGACCCTTGTTACTATTGGGGTGCCTCAGGGTTCAGTAATTGGGTCTTTGGTTTTTCTTATTTATATTAATGATGTTTTTGTGGGTAATAGACATAATTAGTAAAGTTTGTGGATGAAATTAAACTTCTGGAAATTTCTACCTGTGATGATGATAATAGGTACTACAGAATGAGTAATGGATCATTTAGTTAGTTGAACAAGTATTTAATAAATGATCTTTAATTATAGTAAGTGCAAGATAATATATTAGAATTACTATAATTTGGATGACGCATTTAATATAGAAAGGACACGCTCAAAACCTTGACTAAAGGAAAGGATCTTGGCCTAGTGTTGGATAAGACACTTAAACCATCAAGACTGTTCTATTGTTAGTAGCAAATGTAATAAAAGTTTAGAGTGCATTTATAGACAATGGTTAAAAGTCAAAAGAGGTAATTATCTCTCTGTACAATGGTCTGTCTTGAAATATTGCTTACAATTTTAGTCTCCTTATCTAAGAAAGATATTGATTTATTGGAGAATGTTCGGGGGATGATGATTCTGGAAATGGAAGGGTTATAGTATGAGGATAGATTAAAATCTCTTAGATTATTTTCTCTTGAGAAAAGAAGGGTGAGAGACGATCTTGTTGAAGCTTACAGGATTACCCAGGGGATCAATAGATAAGGCCTCTGATATCTTTGTGCTTTATTCTGAAGAGAATAGGCTCCAGTTAATAAAGTTTTATTTTTCTAACAGGGTGAATGGCTTATGGAATGAATTTATTTGAGTAGTAGTGGAAGGTTGCTTCTTATAAAAGTTTAAAAGGGGGGTTCACTAATTTTCTGATAAGAAGAAAGGGTGGATTTAAGATTTTTACTTCTTCTAAAGGGTGGACATGCAGGTATAGCTTTGAATGGCCAAATAGTTCCTTGTGTTCTATATGTGTGTTATAAAAGAGTAAGATTTTAAAACACAGTACTGGAAATAATTGTGACATTGGTTATGAAAAAAAGAGTATTAAAAGCCAATAGTTTGGGAATTCAGCCTGCTTATTTTGTGAAAATTAACTGTACTGGTGTGTAGTTATGTGTTGGTAGTTTATTGTAATACTTTGACTTACTTTCTCCATGGTTGAATGGCATCACATTAGTATAAAACTTATAGGCAAGTCATAATATGCCCACTAATAGTAGTGTGATCTAGTCATGGCTTTCTGAGATGAAACACAACATGTATAAATCAAAGGTTTGGCTGGTTAAGGTAGAAAATTCTGGCAAGACTCCACATAGTAGTAAGTTGCTTGTTTGATGGGACAGAGAAGAACAATATCCCAGTCGCTGTCCAACATTTACAGTGAAGCACAGTAGTTGATCAGTTTGGGGCTGCATCTCAGCCAGCAGTGTTGGTGATCTACATATTATTGACTATTGTCAAATACAGACAGATTCTAATCCATCATGTTATTCCTTCAGGAGCACAATTCATAACATAAAGTATATGTGGTTAAATGGTATCTTGATGGAACAATCATAACTGAGGCTTGACCTGCTCAAAGTTCCAGTATGAACATTCTTGAGGTTACGTGGGTTTATTTACTAGTGAATTGTACAACTTGTTCACATTTCTTTTGCATTTTCTGTAACAATATTTTGTACCATTAATAAATTCACCATCTAGTTACCATTATTCATTGTTTATGACTCGTACATATGTACATCATTTGTCTGTTTCCAGAATTATTTTCATTACTGTGTATCCATATTCTATGTATTGTAATTAGTCATCGTAAGTTAAATATATGGTTCAATTTTTCCTTCATGCAATATTGTAGAAACCTGATTCCTGTTCTTGTAAATTGAAATGTAATTTATTCATGTAAATGTCTTTGTGCAGTTCCTCTATAATAGTGATTGAGAGGTAAGTATTTTTGTTAAAGATAAATTGATGTCTATTGTCATATGCTTGTTTCAGACAAAGCACATTTTACATATCTGACATTGATTGAACAGAAAATTCTACCTATGTAATTAGATTAGTCTTCTCCTGCTGTGTCTTTATGTTGATGATACAGCTGGTCTTGGAATTTTTGTACATAGCTCAGGTGAAGATGTAAGCCAAAACATAGATAGGGGAAAAAACACAATTTTATGAGGTTTTATATATATATATATATATATATATAGCTATTTCAGTTTCTCCCTTTCCTTCTGTTAGCAAATGATAAACATGCTTGTTGTCCTTGAGAGGTCAACAAAATAAATGTTTTTACTAGTTCATTATAAACATTGTAAGTTGTATATGCATCTTCTAAGTTTAAACTGTAGAGATAGACTCTGGTTGTAAAGTGCTTAAATTAGAAAAAATATGCTGACATATATGATTTAAAATATTTAGGATAAGATCAAATTTTTTTGATCATATGTTTCATGTTTTATTTGAATAGTTGGAAGCTATGTTTAGTTCAGTAATTAGATTAATCTGTTTTAGGTTTTCCATTGTTTATCAGCACCAATCTCAAATTAAAAGACTACTACCTCAACCCTAGCTCTTCAATCTTGAGATTGACTCGTGCTGGAGAAGTTCACTTTGGGGCATTACCAGCAGGTGACTGGACTATATTCAAAACAAATGATTCATCCTATGAAGCTTTAGCATGGGCTAGGCCTCAGCATTTTGTACCTATCTCATCTGAGGATGTCAGTCCATTTCTACCTGTTATAGTTCAGGTAAAATTTATAAATCTCACCAATAATGTTTAATAAGGTTAAATTATTAAATATGTAAACCTTTCAAATATCTTACTATAGGTATGACTGCATTTATTGTTTGAATTTGACACAAGCTATATTGCTTATTAAAGATTAAATATGCATTATGTGCCAAGTTTGAAAATAGAGGAATTATATCCAACCATAAAATAAATAAAATTATTTACACTAATTCAACTTAATGAGAGGTAAGTGTTAATTGCCTCTCCTACAGTTAATTTATTAAAATTCCCAAATTCTTTACCATAATTACATGTAAAAAATGTGGAGATTTGTATTAAGCCAATTGTTTTTCAGTTGACTAATATTTATAATATTTTTTTATTATGAGCAAATGAGGATGACTCCTTGAAAAAAAGGTTTTCTGTCCAGGTTGATTCATTTAGAATTTGACTGACCAACAAAAATGTTAGGTTACTCAAGTTGTTTAGCTGACTGCTTGTTTGATTAAGATTACATTGCTGTGAGTCTTTAAAGAACTTGTGATAACTTATAAACTTCAGAATATTTTGTGATTTTAGTCAATAATTAAAGAAACGACTTTGTAAATGATGTTGTACTATTCTTGTCTGTAGTTAAAGTAAAGATAGGTTGCTTGCCAAGCTACTTGTTATTCGATTTTATTCTCTGACGGTGATTTGTGGGTGTTCTAGGTTGTTGTATAAGAAGTTTTTCTTAAATTATCATTCTTCCTTTATTCATTGATACAAATTTTATGTTTTACTAAAGGATCAATAAAAAAAAAAATTATGATTATGGATCTTCATATGTAGTTCAATGCTGAAGTAATACCCACTGATAAATCTGAATGTATATCAATTAAGTCAGGTTTGATTTGAAAGTGTTGAGAGTAAGTGTCTACTTTTGTTATAAACTGTTAGTGTTGGTTCACTTTAACAACTAATAATGCTTCTTATCATCTCGCTTGCAGTTATATAATGTAACATGCATGATAATCACTACTTGGTGCAACGTAATGCATTTTCATTGCCCTGGTATTGTTGCTTAGAGATGAGATGTTTGTAGGTCAACTGATTACAAAAGATTCAAATCTATAGGTTTTATTTTTCCTGTTGGCTAGCAAAATATGAAACCTATTTAATAAGCTTTAATTAAATCCTACATGAACTTTAAGAATTAATTTTTATTTTATTGCCACTGCTAATATAGGATCATGGACTATTTGATGGAATACATCGCGTGCTCTTTGGTAATGGCTTCAAGTTTTGGCTGCATAAACTTCTATTTCTTGATAGTGTGTCCTTCCTTTCTCATGGAAAGCTTAGCTTTCCTCTCCGAAGATACCTCCTTATTGATATTGATGACATTTTTGTTGGAGAAAAAGGAACTCGCATGAAGCCAGCAGATGTACAGGTAGGATTTTCTTAAAGAACACATAAAATTCATTGCCTGATTCTCAGTCATAAAGATTTTAAAATTATACATGTTATTAGGTGTTTTGATACATATTTTTCATTCTAAAAG